CCCACTCCCTCTTTCTCTCCCCCCTCCCCCAACTGACCAGCAATCTTGATGTTCATGTTGGCGTCCATGAGCAGGTTCTCTGCCTTGAGGTCCCTGTGTACGATCCTCCGGTCGTGGCAGTACTCCACAGCTGACAGGATCTGCCAGAACTTCCTGCGGGCGTCCGCCTCGGGCATGCGGCCGTGCTGTGCGATGTAGTCTGGGGATGGGGACACAGAGCGACCAGTTGACATTTTTGTTTTCTTTTGTTTCAATAACAACAGCATTTGTCTAGCGCAAAGTCCCACTCAACAGAAAGCTTTATGTGCTTTGGAATCTATAGGCCTATCATTATCCCAGCAGACCTTACAGCATTCTAAAACATTTGAACCAATCTCAACTTTTCGGGAAGCATACAGAGCTTAGTATGAGAGACTTTTACGGCACTTGCAGCACAAAAAGATCAAAGATGAGCCAAAACTTTTAAATATTAGTAAGTAGGGTTTTACGGCACCAGCAACACAATTAGGTCAAAAGTGTTGAAGAGGTTTCGTTTCAGTAAAGAGGTTTTTTTTTTGTAAGTGTTTTACGGCGCCCACAACTGCATAAGGTCATATGAGCCCGCAGGACACTCCAAACATTTTCAATTTGTAGGAAATTTTGAATTTTGCTCGGGTGGTGGCAGAAGCCTACTCTTATCGATTTTGGACCACCAAGGGAACTTTAACGTACGCAACTTGCACACGGGCTCTCCGAGATTTTTCGCCCTTGTCCGAGAAGGCTAGGTGTAGCTCTTTCCTACCAAAAGATCAGGGGTGTGGCTGAAAGACAGCAGTAAGAAGGAGCCAAGGAGAAGAAATAAAAAGGCTGCGAAAAAAGTCAGGAGCCCAGTGGAGGGGACAACGGAGGTGGGGGGTGGGGGAAGAAAGTGGAGATGAAAGCAGACAACAGAATGTCGCAAGAGAGAAAGAAAGAAGGTGAAAGGAGACAATTTTAGAGAAGAAAAATGTTCCGCCGCTACCCGGATTCGAACCCGGGACCTTTGAATGAGAGGCAAACACCTCAACCTCTAGGCCACGAGAGCCCCAGTAAAGGGTTTAAGACATTTGCAACACAACCAGGTCATAGAAGTGCCAAAGGTTTTCTTTTTTATTTAAGTAAGTAGTAGTTTTATGGCATTTGCAACACAATTACGGCATAGAAGTGTTGAAGAGTTTCAGTATCAGTAAGAGTTTTATGGCATTTTCAATACAATTAGGTTATATAAGTGCCGAAGACTTGAGGTTTTACAAGAGAGTGACAAACACAAAAGAAGGAGGGGAGATAAGGACGATTGATGTTTGATAGGAAAAAAGGAGCAAACCACACCAGAGCACCCACCAAGCACCCACTTACGGTGCTTGTTTGTATTACAAATAGAAGCGCTTGAACAAGGTAACGGTTATTGTGTGTGTGCATGTATGTTTGCTTGTGTGTGTGTGTCCGAGTGTGTGTGTGTGTGTGGAAAGGGGGGGATGGCAGATAAAGAAATATGTGAAAGGAAAAACTCTAGGACAAATGCACAGAAACACACAAATTCACACACTACAAAAAAACAACAACTTCACTTAAAATCTGTTACTTCTGCACACATGCATCTTATTTCACCAAGTTCTATTTTTTTTTATTTTCCCCTCTCCCAAACTGGGAAGGTGGTAACTTAACGTTTCAATTATCTCCTCCACCCTCTCACCTTCCATTCTTCTCCTCATCCTTCGCCCATCCTATTTCAAATCCCCCCCC